TAATACTGCAGATTCACACCCGACTCTGGAATTGCTGGGACAGTGTATCGTGCAACTGTGGCGTAGCTATCAGGGAGCACCGCGACGTAATTGTTCTTAATACCTGTACTAATGATTTCAAAAACAATTATGGAAGTCCAATGAAGATTCTTATTCCAAGCAACCATCGCTTAACAAGAGGTACAAGGATCCTCATCCGACACCCTGGAAGGTATAGTGAGTACGAGGTAAGAGGCATTACAATACTTGATTTTTAGGGTAAAAACGCTCAAAATACAATGTAATTATAAGTAACAATAACAATTAAAAGTAAAAAAAAGGAAGTTTAGGACTAAAGATATGTATCTTAATTATGCTAGGCTTCCTCGAGTTTGAGTAGATTCCAGCGTAAATAGACCAAGCAAGAACTAGAGCTTAAGATGCAAATGGCTATTTAAAGCCTGAGTTAAAGTTTTACAAATCTAATGACTTGACTTAGCAAATAGATTATGTTAAGTTTGTTTGTTTGTTTCGTCCTGCATTTGCTTGGCCTACGCTCAATGGTACTTTAGGAAACGTCGTAGCCTTTAAACCTTTTTTCCATGTTTCATGGTGTTTAACGAGAATACGGTTGCTAATTCTTGTCTTTTTGTGTTTTTCGTTTATTTATCTATTTATTTATTTATCTATCTATTTATTTATTTTTCATTTCACTTTGGTCTATTTTTTTTATTGTTTAGGTACGACTTCCTTCAGGTACAGTGGTAAATGTTAAACGCCACTGGTGGGGAAATGATGTAGAAATGACAGCCCCATCTTCTGATGCAGGTAACACGGAAGGCATGTGTGGCAATTTCAACAGGGTTGGTACTAGGGAAGACGAATTTAACAATGGTGGAGACGGTAACTCTTATGGCACAGACGAAGTCTCTTTTGGAGACAGCTGGAGGTAAGATATCTGCAACCACAGCCTCAGCCAATACACCTGGTAAATACTTCACTGAATATTATTGTAATATATATTCAGATGTTATTTAAGAATATTACACTTAAGTACGGTATATTAAAATTTTTGCTCCTTCGCCTCGCTTCTCCACACGGTTTCGAGTGTGCGTAACGCGAAATACCTGGTTAAAATGCTTGCTCAAATATGTCACACGAAATACTTGGAGTAAAACAATTTATGCCCTTACAATACTTTGAAAAAGCAACGCAATCGAATTCCACTGAAATTCAGCGAAATAATACTGAGGGAAACCGGAGAGCCGTCAAAGTCAGTGCAAGAGCCATCAGAAAACGCAGCTAAGACAACCACACCCGTGGAACTAGCTCTGTCACCAGTGCGTCACACTTGCTCCAAAAATCGGTTTAAATGACTGCACAGCCCTTCAAAATGGCATAATAGCGTCATTTATCATTTTTGAAGTTAGAAGGCTTTTTTGATTCATTGATCAGTTGTCATTTTGGTTTGTTATAAACAGAGTGGACCCCCCAAAAAGTCTCTTTAGGACGGTACCGCCTTGTCTTGATGACTCGTGTGACAACTCAGAGCTTGACTTGGATCGTTGTCGATGCGTCAGACAAGGTGGATCATTCGATGTTACTTGTGGTC